AGAAAATTAGAATTGCAACTATTTTTGATTCTTATCGACAGCATATTTTCTTTCGTCTCTCTCTCTCTCCGCTTATTCGTCCATTTTCACATCTTCCGGCCTCTCCTTTCTTTCTCGAGGATCGCCTTATCTCCTATATCTTTCTCCAAACCAAGCCAAACACATCTGTTTTCCTTGTATCGGACTAAAACGTTTCATAATCATAAGGGTTCTTGTAGCTTCCAAAGTTGCCGCTATCCTAATAATTATCTAACCACTTAGTGCTGTAATCTCTTAATCCCTAGGGACTGACCAAAAGTTGGACGCTTTCTCACCTCTCTCAACCCAAACCGATTCTTACACTTAAAAAAAATAAAAAATCTTTTAGACATAATATACATTCTAAAATTATTATTTTTATAAAATATACTTTTTTGCTCAAAAAATAGCCACAAATATTTAACACAATAAAATGGATGAACAAAAAAAAAAACTAAGGGATTAAGTTTTAAAAGTATGACTATGTACTTGCTTAAAATAGAATGAACAAATTAATAAATTATGTAAGGATATTGATTATTTTTAGCTTTAATGCATATAGCATAGGACTTAGGCTTACAACATATGATATATTTGAAATTACTGTATAGATATTGATGTATGTTATGTTACAGTTTTGCTGAAAACTTTAGAAACTAATGACTTTATCAACGCCTTATTTATGCTAGACTAAATGTTCAATTGTTTGTGTGTCAGTGACTCTAATAGTGATTTGTTTTGTTGAATTTCGCGCAAAGCTACTTGAGGGCTATGCACTAGCCATCCTTAATTTTAAAGTGATAGGCTAGAGAGAATGCAGCTAAAAATAAGGTTTCGATATTAGCAGTGGGCAAAGCTTAACACCAAACAAATCAAGCAACATACTCATAAAACAACCATAAGTAATCCTACTATTTTTCATGAAAGATGAAAACAACAACCATTCTGTTACTTCAAAATGTTAACAATTATAATGACGTCAATAATTATCTTTCTTTCTTTTATTATTTAGGAATCTAACAATGTTTTTCACTTTTGAGTTTTTTATAATTAAATTGTGGGGTTTCAAAAAGAATTCCCTTAGATGTTAAATGCGTGAAATGAGATCAATAGGCATCACGTGCTGGCAGATAAATTTACCCCCCTCTATTTTTGTAAGCAATATATTTATATACCAATCACTAAATAGAAATATATTTTGTCGTCATCGTTAGAAGTTAACTTACACTTTATGTAAATTAATATCATGATTAGAAAACAGTCTTGAAATAGTTCATTAGGTAAACCATCTCCTACTCTCCAAGTTAAGAAATTATCACGGTTAATTATTTCTATTACGTTGATTACTTTTTCACTAGAGGGCGTTAAGAGTTTGTTTATTTGTAAATATACACAAAGCTACACCATGGGCTATCTGTGATCTGCCCACCACGGGTATCGAAACCCAGTTTCTAGCGTTGTAAGTCCCCAGACATACCGCTGTGCCAATGGGAGGGGGCGGAAGCTGTAATTAACAGAATATTTATAACTACATTCAGTCACACAAAATCAGTTAAACTGATTTGAAAATATTATTAACACAGGAAAACATAAGTAACACACGTAGATATGTCATATGGTAAGTAAACTTAGATGAGTGTATTAACGTAGTATTACGGGCTGAGAGAGAGACAGCCAATAAAATGGTCACTAAATTACAAAAACTTACTTTATCTTCTTTGGAAAGACTGTGTTTTTCTTAAGATTTCCCTTCACATACGATATGTTTAATGTAGTAGATATATTAAAAGTCATACATTAATAACAATGATTACGAGTCCGTGATGTATTGCTGCGTTCGTAAAAAGATAGTTACTCTCATGATTCTAGAACTAAACTTGTAATTTGCTGAAGTGCTGACATTTGATATATGTAATAACCTACGTAGTATTATCATTTGTCAATATTTGTCACAGCCTTGTTAGGATAGAACAATACGATTGTAGGGTCAAAGGAATCATTCTCATATCGCACCAAAATGGTAAAAAAGGAAAACTAAGATTTTTTATAATATTATTTTATAATATTTTGTGAATGTTTCAAAAACTATTCGGCTTTAACATGTGCTTTCAAATATAATTTTTTATGCTGTACATTAACTGATTATGAAAATGGATTGGTTATAATATAATAATTCATCTTTTGAGTGGAGAAAAGGAAAAGTTTAAATCCAATTTATCTGGAACCATTTTATCGTAAATCGTTTTGTGAAAAAAAATAAAATAACAACTAAAGCCTAGATTGCTTCTTGTCATGCTACATCAGATATCTTCTTCGTCAGTGGAGCGATTACGATGTGTTTCTACTGATCTTAATCAACAGCGGTCATCCATTTGTCACGTTATCATGATATCGAGACGGGGAAATGGGTCGTGATACTCCTGGGTCGAAGTGCCCTAACAATAGGCGGGATACTAGTCATGCTCTGATATTTCTTAATAGGAACAACCTGACAAGTGCCACTGACATTAATCATTACATAGAGCAGTTGTCTCGTATTTTAGGACATGGCCTATTTTAAACAATGACCGTATTATGTAAAAGTGAGGGCAGGAAATTGAATAGAGATGTGCGTGATATTCTACAGTTAGTAACAAGTTAATAACTGTAAGATGTTTGTCAGAGAGTCTGAATGTTTTGGGTCAAACACCTTAGATGAAAGTTAGTTCCTTTATTTCAAAATTAATTCCATTCGTCTTACTTCACCTCTTCTTCCCTATCTTATTCTTTATTTCTGTCCTTGCCTCATTAATTTTCTCTGACTTATTCTTATTTTCTCCTTTCATGTTTCTCTCATTTTGTTCCATCAGTATATCTCTATCTCTCACTCATTTCCTTCATCTTTCTTTCACTTGTACACTTCTTCCTTCTAATTATGATAGTAAAAATCCATCTTTACCATATCTATGGATTCACTAAACATCTCATTAATTCAACTTTTCATTCACCGCTTCCTTGTATTTTAGCTTAACACCCAGTCTGCGATTCAGGGGAACATTTTTGGGTGGGTTGATTCCCAGAAAAAACTTTCTGTACCCTCTCTCGTTTTTTTAAAATTCTGAATAGAGATTTGAAATCCTTGCGTTATCCAGAATTCGAATTGTTCCCTAGCGTGGCCGTTTCTAGGGTATGAGGACGTAAAACTCATATACTCTTCCAAAATTCTACACAATAAACGGTAGTGGCCACATATGTTGCGCAATATAAGATTTAGTTCCTATAAAGCCGTTTTCTCCTCGGTTTTCTGAGTTCTGTCGATAGAAATTATTATCTGATGAAGAATTCTTAGAGTGACATAGAAATATCCAATGTGCGCAAAAGCAGTACATTTTTTATTTCTGTTTAAGACCAGACAGGGTCTGATATTCATAAGCACTTTTCATTTGACCAATCATGATACGACAACGCGAACACTTCTACTTTTTGTTAAAGGAACTCAGTCCGGTCAACCCTGTAAACGGCGCATCTCCTTAGCCGATATAGGGGGGGGGGGGTAAGATTCTTTTGGTAGTACTGTGTGTGCTTTTGGTCGAAACCTTTATCAAAGTACATATTTTTAGATTTAACTTAAATACCGTAAATCAGTGGTCGGCAACCTTTTTTGATCTTTGATCGCGGGTCAATTATTTTTGTTTGGAAATTTAATTGAAAATAAACTTCATTCCTTTTGCTCAAGTGTCAACATATAACAATGAACCTTTTATTTTAAAAGACAACTTATGTAACAGCATAGAAAATAATTTTTACCTAGTCAGGTACCTTTGATAGAACAGTAAAAAAGTTATTCTTCACTTCAGGTGTCCCGATGTGGTATGATCTACATGGAGCCCACAGCATTAGGATGGAGACCATTGCTACATTCCTGGCTGAAGACCCTCCCTGCTACTTTAGATACATCTACCTACCATGAGATGCTGATCTCTCTTTTTGAATATTATTGTCCCCCTCTTCTTGCTCTTGTGCTTCAAAACCCTTCATGGGTTAGATTAATCTTGTTGTTTACTTTCTTTTTCAATATTAAAGTCCTCCTCTTCTTGCTTTTTGTTTTCTTTTTCAAAACTCTTTATGTTTTTCAGAAACGTTTTCATCAGTTATGTAAATGTTTGTAAAACTCTCTATCAATAAGATGTTTGAGTTTTTTTTAGGGTTTTCACAGGTCATGAAAATCCTGCAAAGTTATGGAATTTTGTAGACAAATTTTTTAGTACTGAATATCTTGGCAAAATTAAATAATTTTTATAAGTAGATCCTGGAAAAGTCCAACCCCATTGCTCCCACATCCCCCATTTTTATTTAAAGCAAGCTATACTATTGTGGTTGCCTCAGTTTAACAAAAGACTATCATTAAAATGTGTGATTTATAAAATGGGAAATATGATTTGGCAAAACTGATAAGTAACAAGCTTTGAACTATGTACTCCATCTGCAAGCAAACAATTAATGTTCAGAATTCTCCTAATTCTATCTTTACCATATGTTCTTCATCAATTATTGCTTAAAATTTATTAATGAAAAGAGAGAAAGAGAATTTCAAAACGAAACTGCAACAATATAATAGAAGGAGTGTCATATTTATAACAGCAGTTCATGAAATAGTCTGATATTTTCATTAAAGACAGCCTGTGCGCTCATACTTCATTAGGTCACCCATTATTTTTACAATGATCAATCTAGGCTAGGACATATTGAGTAGTATTTTTGCTCCCTTTTCAAATATTTTAAGGACAGTATCCTGCTATAAGAGACAAGCAAGACTGTGAATGCAGTATCTATATAAATATAATAGTATTTTCTGTTGTATAACCATGTAACAATTTTCAGAGTGCATATGGATCTTCACCAAAATTGGTGTGGAAGTTCATTTGGTCCATGCAAGGGTATAAACAAATTATTTTACATTTTAGGTTTTTATGAGCGTTTTTGTGGTTTTTACCAGTACTTTGACCTTATAGATGGATCTTCACCTAATTTGTCATGAAGGTTTGTTGGGTCTAGGGGGATATACATACAAATTTGTGATTTCACATTTTGTATTTTGCAGTTTTTATGGCCATTTTTGCGTTTTTTACATTTACATATAAGAGAAGCAAGTTTTCATGTCCTAAAATAACCTTTCATTAATCATGAACTAATATAACTTCCATCCAGGGGACAGGTACTCCAGCCAGTTATGATATATGTTATTAATATTATTATTTCTTTCATATATAAAATAAATAACATTCTTAAAAATTTGGTTCATGATTTTACTTGTAATCATCATACCATCAAATGAAATTATTCAAAACAATTACTGTTTTAAATATTGCACTGGGCACCAAAAAACAGTTTTTCTTTGCTACTAGAAAAAATGCAATTGTTTCTGAGTAATTTGATGATGCTGATTCTAAACATCATGTTGAAAATTACTGATCACCTGTAGTTTTAGAGTTATGATAGAATTATTCAAAATATTCTTATTATCATGAAAATAAATTTTTCTTTAATTTTATTTATTCATTGAAAATTGCATTTAAGAATGCTTAATCTGCATGCTTTGATACGTTTCTTTTATGTTCACAGCATGAGCAACAGGAATCGATGGCTTAGTGTTCCCATTGTGCAAAAGTACACCTTTCAGATTAACTTTAGATGAATCAACAAAACGTTTCCATTCTTGAGGATCATGTTCAGTACCTACTTTTTCCATTAGTGCATCAACACTTGTAAAGAAACACAAAGTATCTTGCATGTTGTAGTGAGAAGCAAGACTTTGATGATGTCTTTGGTAAATTGAAACTCTTGTACCTGGAACTAATAAGTTTCATTGCTGTAAACAAGAGCCAAGAAGTTCCCCATGCAGCTTTGATAGAGACAAGTCACGAATCAGATCATTTAGCTCTTCTTGTGTGATCAGTTAAGGCAGTTTATGTGGAGGTGCCACAGGAATAGAATTACTAGATGAATAGGATGAAGATGATTCATTGTCTTCTTCATAGGATAACTCTTCTGTTTCCCAATTTGCTGGTGGATATGGCACTGGAAGACCAATCCCATGAGGTACTGGTTTCATTGAAGATGCAGTATCTGGATATTGAATCTACAGTAACTTTCCCATTTACATCAGTGGTGCATTCCTAGAAAATAAAATGTTAGGCGGATCAACATAAATCGGCCACTACTTTACCATTGATGTAGTGTTATATAGGTAGGATACATTCCTGGAGACTAGGTTTACGACACCCAAACTTAATCTATCGCAACATAAAGACATAGAAAATATATAAACCAATACAGAACAGTCATATTTGAGGGTTTTTAAAAAGTTTGGCAAAAAAATAATTACTGGGAATATCTCTTGATACTGGCTGATAGGACAGACAATGTGTAACTTAGGCTGAGGGAAATGTGGTTAGGCTGGCTTTGACTTGACTCCCAAGAGTAGAAAAAGACTTGCATGATGCACCTACTTGTTGTCATGATGCAGCATAGGCTTAGCCATGAGGTTTGAATTTTCTGTTTTCGACACTTAGTGACAAAATCATTGTTTAAACAGATTCAACCAACTTGATGACTTTATATCAGATTGACATAAATGGGAGGTTACTGTATTGTTTAGTTTTGCCTGAATATCCAGAATCATTAGTCATGCAAAAATAATAGTCAGTTAAATGATCTTTGGGCTTATTCCATATCATGGGAACTGAAAATGGCATACTTTCTCTCTTCTTATTCAGCCATTGTGTATGCCAAATGTGCAAACTGTAGAATGCACATGAAGAGCCCAATGTTTTTCTTGGTTACCAATTTTACACCAAAAATAGTGGTAGTAAGCTATCTTTACCTTGTGTGTAATGTTTTTCCTTCATGAATCTGTAATATATTTTTCACAAATGTAACAGAAACTGTTTGTATGGTTTTTACACTTTCGAACTTTACTTGAACTGGAGGCAGCCAGCATTTCAAATGATTTTCTAAAAAACATAAAAGAATTTATGTTTACAGAACTAGAACTTAAAAAATAAAAAAACGAAGTTTTGCAGAATTTGATTATATGATAAGTATGATGCAAGTAAGAAGATTGGACTTTTTTTTACCGTGCACAGAACGAGGCAAAATGGCAGAGTGAGTGAGATGCAAATAAGAGAGAGGTGTCTGACTCCACTCCTTTTATGCTAAGTTGAGGGATTTTTGGAATTTTCTAGCAAACTGAGCATGTGGGAATTTTGTGATTCCCAGGCAGAGCAGGTGAGCTTGGGAATGAAGCAAAGTGGTGCAACTTGCTACAATTATATTGAGAACAAATAGCATATATGAATAATATATTTGGTATTTTACACCATTACATTACATTAAGCATTTGAAGTTATCAAAAATGTATGCTTTTTACCCATTAAACTGTCCAAGTAAATTTAATTTCACAGCATAAATCTATTGTACTGAGTTGATTACATGGTATTTCACATTGTGCTGATAAAATATTGAGATATTACAATAACTCAAATTCTAGAGGTGATGGACAAATTCTGACTACATTTTTTAAATCAGCACCATCAAATTACCCTGAATCACTTGAGTTTTCTCCAGTAGCAAATGTTTTGTTGTCCAGTATTGTTTAAACATGGGTATGTGTAAAAATATAAGAAAACTTGTACACTGAAAACCATGTTAAAATATGAAGGTTTTATTGACCCACAAGGTTTCCAGTTCTTTGTTAGCTGGAATTGCATAAGTAAATTGAGAAATGTTTAAAAGTAATGGAATGCAATTTTGTGGAAAAACCATGAGATATACAACATTGTTAATGGGTACAACAATTTGAGAGTAGTCTCGGTAACAATATGAGGGTGAATCTAGCTTTGGTATCTTGGTTGGCTTGGTGACATCATGATAGATGTTCATCAACCAATCAGGTACAAGTTAACTTGTTGTCCTATTAACAAGTTGAAGTGATATGTTCAAGGAATATTATTTGGTTTTGGTTAAATGCTAGAAGAGTTTTTAGCTTTCATCAAAACACAATATTTGGGATAGAAGCGCAAGACATTATCACTTGTTATTAAACTGAAGTTGAGAAAAATTTAAATATACTCCATATAAATAATGAATGTGTACTTGAATAAGTGTTTTTCGAAAGCTAAGAATTTCACTGTTATTGCTAGAATGTTTATACAGCTGTTACTGCATTTTTCTATAAAATATTAGTTATTTAATTTTGTTGGAGTTCAAGTTTTTATAAAACCACTAAATTAGATCCTGGAAAGTCTTGGAATTTGTTTGCCATTAGCCTGTGCAAACCATGTTTTCTAAACTTCATCATGGAAATAACTGTTCCTTAATTAATTGAAACTCTTGACCAAAAAAAAAAATGCTCTACTTTGAAACTCTTCATGAATAAGAAACATATTTTTCTTTAAAATGCAATAAATATTGCTCACATTTTATTAAGATTCTTCATCATTGAGATTATTGTTACTTTTAAGAATTAAATACCACTAAAGTAAATATATATATATCTATATATTGTTGCATCAGCGAGGTCATGTGGCTAGTGTCACGCCACGTCCGTCTCAAACCTTCGGGAATTATCGGGAGACTACTGGATTGGGGGGTAGGTCTGATATAT